TAGCTGTAGCCCCAATACCTGCAAGGTAGTAGGTGCTCTGTAAATCTTCATTCAACGACCAAATGAATAATTGACTGTTTCCCTGATTAGCATGTGAGCTCTTTAAGGGCAGGACACTTTTATTTGTTGCCTAAATAGGTTATTAAATATATAAGTTTTAGGACAGTACTTGGTAATCAGTAAGTATTTAATAAAAGTTAGTCTTAGCTAGGCACAGTGGCTCAGCCTGTAATCCCAGCACTTTGGGAGGCTGAGACGAGAGGATTGCCTGAACCCAGGGGTTCGAGACCAGCCCGAGCAACTTGGTGAGACGTCGCCTCTACAATAAATCACAAAAACTAGCCGAGAGTGGTGGCGTGCGTCTGTAGTTCCAGCTACTTCGAAGGCTGAGGCGGAAGGATCGCCGGAGCCCAGCAGGTTGAGGCTGCGGTGGCCGTGAGCTTGCCAATGCACTCCAGCCTGAGCGAGAAGAGTGAGACTCCAAACACACACACACACACACACACACACACACACACACACACACACACAAAGTTAGCCTTGCTGTGTGTGAGGGGGTCAGACTGCTGTGTTGCAGCCCGTGTTGTATGGCTGGGCCATCCTTTTATCCACAAGCTACACAGCACGTTGGTCAATGCTATCTATGACATCATCATCTTTGTTGTGGGTATCATCTTTTCCCGTGTCCTGGGCACTAGGCAAACACAGAATGGTGCTTGTGGTGGAACCACAGGGTGAATAAGGACCCCAAGCCCACTTCTTCCTTCCTGGTCAGCCTCGGGGCGGGAGGTGGGGGGACTTCCGTCTTGCTAGCCGTAGGGCTGAATCCATCCGGGCCGGGGAGCTGGAAGAGCATTGTACAAGGTGGCAGCTGTTCCCTCTAACACATACTGAACACTTTGCACCAGGCCCTGGGAGCACAGAGATGATGCCCACCTGGCCCCGGTCATTGAAGAGCTCAGAATCTAGGGAGAGAGGGCAGGACCCAAACTCTCATAGGCAGGAGTCGGGGAGGGTGGCCTGGAAAGCTCCCGGAGAAAGGGCAGTTGAGCTGAATGTGGGAGGATGAGAACAAGTGAGCCAGGTGAAAGAAGGGAAGAGTGCGTGCTCGTCGTCCCCTCTGGGCCTCAGTCTCTCCATTTGCCCCTTGAAGGTGCTGGATCAGATGACTTTCAAGGCCTCTCTGGCCTCTGACGTGCTTCAACTCGGTGGTCTTTGGCGGCCGGCCCTTGAGCTGTGCTCTGGTTTCTGCTGCCCCCTGCTGGAAACTCTTGGCTACACCGAAGTCCCGAAAAGCAGCCTTGAACTTTGCCGGCTTCCCTTTTTTCTCCCGCCCACACGCATCCTATTCCTCCAAGCAGCAACTAAGCAACACTGGCTTGTCGCGCAGATCGAAATTTCCTAGATAAAAAGTATTCTCAATACATATTTTAGACGAAGGACTTGAAACTACTAGGTGGGAGGATCGCTTGGGGCCAGGAGTTCAAAATCAGTCTGGGCAATATAGTGAGACACCTTCTCTTCAAAACATAAAATTAGCTTTGAGTTGTGGCACACACCTGTAGTCCTACCTACCTGGGAGGCCGAGGCGGGAGGATTGTTTGAGCTTAGGAGTTTGAGGTTGTAGTGAGCTATGATTATGCTCCTGCACTCCAACCTGGGTGACAGAGGGCGACCCTGACTCTCTTTTTTTTTCAAGTTAGATTCTCACTCTGTCTCCCAGGCTGTTTCAAGTTAGATTCTCACTCTGTCTCCCAGGCTGGAGTACACTGGAACGATCGTGGCTCACCACAGCTTTGCCCTCCTGGGCTCAAGTGATCCTTCCACCTCAGCCTCCTGAGCAGCTGGGACTACAGATGTGTGCACCACCAGGGCCAGCTAATTATTTTTGATGTTTTTGTAGAGATGAGGTCTTGATATGTTGCTTAGGCTGGTCTCAAACTCCTGGGCTCAAGCAATTTTCCTGCCTCATCCTTCCAAACTGCTGGGATTACAGACATGGCCCATTGTGCCTGGTGAGAACCTGACTTAAAGAAAAAAAAAAATCACAATGGTTATGATTCTGCAATTCCACTCCTCAGTAGCAATCAATATGAATGAAAACTATATCCACACAAGACTTGCGCACGAATGTCTATGGTAGTTTTATTCTCCCAAACTGGAGATGACTCAGTGCCCCACAACTAGAGTAAAGACAAGACGAATTCTAGCCATACAATGGAATATTGGTTGTGGCAAAGAACCACAGACTATTGAAAAGTCTTATGGTCATGAAAGAAGCCAGACACTTAGCATATGATTCAATTTATATAGAAATTCTAGAAACGGGTTTGGTGGCTCAGCCTGTAATCCCGCACTTCAGGAGTTTGAGGTGAGCGTATTGCCTGAGCCCGCGGGTTCGAGTCCCGCCTGGGCAACTTGGCGAGAACCCATCTCTACAGTAAATCAAAAAAATTAGCCGGGCGTGGTAGCGTGCGCCTGTAGTTCCAGCTACTCGGAAGGCGGAAGCGGAAGGATCGCCGGAGCCCAGCAGGTCAAGGCTGCGGTGGCCGGGAGTGGCCACTGCACTCCAGTCTGGGAGACAGAGTGAGACTCCAACTCAAAAAAAAAAAAAAGAAATCCTAGAACAGGGCAACCCTCCTCTGGGTCCCCTACTGCTACCAGGAGCTTTTCTATCTTCCGAATAAATTTCTACTTACAAAAAATAAAAAAAAAAAGAAAGAAAGAAGGAAAGAAAAAAGAAATTCTATAACAAAGAAAGAAAGAAAAAAGAAATTCTATAACAAAGCCGGCTGTGGTAGCTCACACATATAATCCCAGCACTTTGGTAGGCTAAGGTGAGAGGATTGCCTGAGCCCACGGGTTTGAAACCAGCCTGGGCAACTTGGTGAGACCTCCCCATCTCTATGATGAACCCAAAAAATAGCTGGGCGTGATGGCATGTGCCTGTAGTTCCAGCTACTTGGAAGGCTGAGGTGGAAAGATAGCCTGAGCCCAGCAGGTCGAGGCTGTGGTGGCCGTGAGCGTTCCTCTGTACTCCAACCTGGGTGACTGAGTGAGGCTCCTACTCAAAAAAAAAAGAAAAGAAAAGAAAAAAAAAAAAGACATTCTAGAACAAACAAATCTATGGTGACAGAAGGCACATCAGAGACTTCAGACTTCATAGGACTTGGGTTGGGGGGTGAGAATGGAGTCTGGGGACATTATCTGTAAAGGGCAGCAAAACAAAACTTTTGGGGGAGATGGACATTAAAATTTTTTTATTGGGATGGTGGTTAAACAGATGAACACATTTGCCAAAACTCATCGGACATTATGCTAAGTGAAATAAGCCAGAAAAAAAAAAAATGCAAGGGTTCTATGAGTCCACTGATTTGAAGTACCTACAATAGTTGAATTCGTAGAGACAGAAAGCAGGTTGGGTACAGGGGCTCACACCTGTCATCCCAGCACTTTGGGAGGCCAAGGTGGGAGAATCACTTGAGCCCAGAAGGTGGAGGCTGCAGTGAGCCGGGATCGTGCCACTTCACTCCCGTCTGGGCGACAGAGTGAGACCGCGATTCAATCAATTAAAAAATAAATAAAACAGAGAGACCGAAAGTAGAACAGTGGTTGCCAGGAGCTGGAACAGGGGGCGTGGGAGTTACTGTTTAATGGAGATGGAGTTTCAGTTTGGGATGATGAAATAGCTCGGGACACAGATAACACTGATGGCTACACGCATTTGATTACTTAATGCCACTGCACTGCACACTCGGAAGTGGTTAAAACGACACATTTTATATTAGGTATATTTTATCACAGTAAAAGCAAAAACCACAAAACTCATCAAATTGTGCATTTGCAGTGGGTAAATTTTCTTTTTTTTCTTTTTTTTGTTTTTTTGTTTTTGAGTTGGAGTCTCCCTCTGTCGCCCAGACTGGAGGGCAGTGGCCGCTC